GCTGTGATTGTGATTAGTGGTCTTGAAAGAGAGGTCTTTTAATTTCTATGAATCTTTTTTTTTTTTTTTTTGTGGTACTGGGGTTTAAACACAGGGCTTTGTGCTTGCTAGGCAGGTGCTCTACCACTTAGGCACTCCACCAGCCTTTTCTTTTTTCTTACATGTTTTGGTCTAGGTTGACACTCCTGAACTCAAGCGATCCTCTTGCATCAGCTTCTGAGTAGCTGGGAATATAGGTGCATGTCACCATGCCCAGTTTCTATCTCAATCAGTTTTTTCACTTCTCATGTCACATTGTTGTATACAAGATAAACCCTTGTCCTGGCTTGACATAAAGAGTAGTGCTTAAAACAAAACAATAAACAATCATGTTTAGGGGTTTCATCACTATTAACTAAGAATATTCCTTACAGTGACACTGGTGTTATAGGGCCTAACATTGAATGATTCTTATCCTGTTCAGATACTAAGCCAGGCTGTCCACAGGAATGTCAGCAGACTGTGTGAATTCCTAAATAAGAACTGTGTAAATCTAACTGTTTATGATCATTTTCAATATAGATATCATCCCAATAGCAATAATCATTTGTATATTTTGTGCAATACTTTATAGTGAACTTTGATATATTATTACCTAGTCCTCACAATAGGTATTACTGCTGCTGGTTTATTTTCATCATTTTACAAATGATACCAGGTATCGAAGGGGTAGGGGGGAGAGGGACAGGCCGTGTGGGTGGTAGGGGTGGGGGGTGGAGCAGGAGGGAGAAATGACCTCAAGCATTGTTGCACCATTGAATATAAAAAAATAAAAATTAACAAAACAAATGATAAAAGAAATTATGGCCCAACTGTATGAATGGGTAATCAATTTAACCAGTTCTGTGTTGATAAATATTTTGGCTGAAATTAAGGGGATTAGTTTTATTAGGGTGTTTTCATTGTTGCTATTGCTGTTTGCTATTCAAATTATTATTATTATTATTATTATTATTATTATTATGGTAAGAGTGGAGTTTGAACTCGGGGCTTCACACTTGCAAAGCAGGTGTTCTACTGCTTAAGCCACACCTACAGCCCATTTTGCTCTGGTTATTTTGGAGACAGGTCTTGTGAAACTGTTTGTCAGGGTTGGCCTACAATCTTTGATCCTATCAATCTCAGCCTCCCAAGTAAGCTAGAATTACAAGCATGAATCACTGGTGCCAAGATCAAATTCTTTTTTCAAGGTACTGAGAATTGAACCCAGGGCCTCACACTTGCTAGACAAGCACTCTACCTCTTGAGCCATGCCCCCAGCCCTGCAATGCAAATTCTTATAATTTTGTTTTGCATATTTATGAACATGTATCTCTAAGATACATTTTAGAAATGAAGAGCTGGGTTAAATAATTGTTTGGGGGCTGGAGGTGTGGCTCAAATGGTAGAACACCTGCCTAGCAAGCACAAAAGCCCTGAGTTCAACACCCCACCCCAAAAAAAAAACCCAATAAAAAATAACATGGTTTTAAATTTTCAGTAAAATGCCTTAAATTCTTTTTGATACAGGGTCTCCCTATACAGCTCAGGCTGGCCTCAAACTTGAGACCCTCCTACCTCAGGCTTCCCAATGCTGGGATTATAGACGTGCCACCACCACACCTGGCTTAAATGTTGATTTAAGAAAATGAGGCTCAGGGGCTGTGGGAATGTAGCACAGTGGTAGAGCACTTGGCTGGCATGTGCAAGGCCCTGGATTTGATTTCCCAGCATAGTGATAATAATAGTAATAATAGGCCTCCCGGTGCTTACCACAGGCTGTGTTCTTACACTGACTATAGGAAGAGTAGGCAAAGAAAACCTACCCCATAGACACCTCAGTCCAGGCCCTGTGCCTGGTATGTATTGTGAATGGGGTGAGAAAAAACATAATAACAATAATGAAAAAAAAATATTAAGGCTCCAAGAGTTGTTGCCTGATGTGTCACAAAAAAAATAAAAGAATTTAGACTCGAATCTCCCATATTTCATTCTTCTCTACCACATAATTTTTATATAGCTACAATTTTTAGATTTACACCTGAAAACTTACCCAGGAGCCAGCTGTCTTTGTGCATCCCAGCTTCAAACTGACTATTTAGAGAAGACTGCTGCAGCACAGCATAGTCCTGTAGACTGCCTGGCCAGTTTGTCTCCACAGTCATCAGTGCTCCTCTGATATCACACACCAACAGGCAGTTTAAAGAATGCAGTCCTTTGCGGTTCACATAGGAGAGGTCTTCTGCGTTTGGTGCCTTGATCGCCACGTGGATACAGTCAATCACCCCTATCACTCCTGGCATTCCTGCCAACCCATAGAATTCATCCTTCAGAGCTTGCATGGAGGCTTCATCAGCTGGAAAATGAATGAACTGTGAGGCCCTTTCCACAAGTGCTTCGGTGACATTGGCAACACAGCGACTCATAGAGGCCTGACTGATTCCAATAGCATCTCCCATCCGAGTCTGGAAGGAACCTGAGGTATAAAAGCCCAATGCTGCAAGGATCTGTGTCTCAGGGCTAATAGCCCTCGATCGCTGAGTAGGTCTAGAAAGACTTGCCCCCAGGAGCTCCACCAAATAATAAATGAACTGTCTGGGAAACCCATACATGGACATCAAATATTCATCAGTCACATCATCCAGCTTAAAACGGTCCAAAGTCCGGTGACCTCGGCCATATAGCAAGAGATCACAGTCAAGCACTGTTATTGGTATAGCCATAGCAAATGTGAACGTTGTCTCTTCTGATACTTTTTCTCAATTCTTCTCAAAGATGTTGGTGAAGAAGGTATTTAAGGAAGTGTCACAATTCAACAGCTAACCATCAGTTTGTATTTAGAATTTAATATTTAGAATCTTCTCTCTGTAAAGGTTAAAAGAGAAAAAAAATTAGAAACCTACCGAAGACGTTAAAGTAACTCAAAGGCCACAACAGCACCTTTGGAGCAAACTCATCTTGTTCAGGCCTGAGGTTCTGTACCTGAACCTCTGGGTTTTTCTCCACTAATTCAAGGCTGCACGACAACCTTGGTTTGGTCTGAGGTTCATGGGAATTCAATTTTGGTGGCTCATTTAGTGCCTGGCGTTTCAACTGAAAAGAGCAAAAAGATTAATGGAGGTGATGGCATGATTATTCACAAGGTAAAAGACGTCTGCTCCTAACTACACAGGTCACGGAGCAGCTGAGAAATCATCACTACCTTGGATAAGGATTAGTCACGCGAGGATTGTTATCCAAAGCCACCTGGTAAGTATGGGACCAGATGTGGGGTTGCTCAAACCAGCCTAACGAGCGAGCACGGGACTGCGTGTGGTTTTGGTTTTTGTTTCTAAAGGCCATGATCCAGGCTGGAAACGTACATTATCTGCTGTTAACGACAGGTTTTCCCTCACCCCAAAGAAATCCAAATCCTGAGGCTGAGGGCTAGGAAGTCAGGAAGAGCCAGGTTTGAGAGGCGACTCCGCCACTTTGAAGTCTGACTGCGCCAGCCATTCAGAGTCCGCAAAGGTTGGTTACCCACCTCGCCGCGGCTGCCAGGCTACCAGCCGCGCACACTCCACCCACCCCGCCCGGGCGGGCCCTCCTCCGGAACCCGCGGCTGCACGCAGGCCGCCACGGAGCGCAACAGAGGCTCCGCCCCTCCGCGTCAGCACCGCCCCTCCGCGTCAGCACCCGCGTCAGCACCCGCCCCTCGCGTCAGCACCGCCGCTGCCGCCGCAGCCTGCGCCTCACCACCGCACATTCCACACGCAGCCCAAACGCCCTCGCTCTCTAAGACCTCCATACTTTCGCCTTTAATTTCTCCTGGGACGCTTGCAAAAATTGCCTGCGAGGTCTTATATGGAAAACTAATAAACTTTAATGGTGGTTTTTGAGGCTCCAAAGGACCGAATTGGCCTTCCAACGTGTAACGAAAGTACAGCTGTGGTTAGGCAGCTGGATTGGCCCTCGTAGCCCTCTGTCTTCCCACCGCCTGCACTGAAGCGGATGAAAACAAACACTTACGATGGCGGCGCCGGGAAGCGACTGGTTGCTCGGTTAAGGCAAGAATGATCGCTTGACGGGCGACAGGAGCGGCGAAGAGAACCAGTCGCCCTGAGTGTGACAACTTGCTCAGTCCTTGGAGCCGAACGCCCGGGTCCTGCGAGTCCGGAGCTTCCGAAGGCGTGGGGTGTCTTATCTGCGACCTGTGCTGTCACTGCAGCTCCGGAGCGCGGCCCCTTACCCAGGACGCGCGGCTGGCCGGCCCCGGGCCCCGGCCTCCGTAATGAGAGCCCCGAGCCACTCTCTGTGCCGCAGCTTCACAGGTACTAACTTTGGTGGGGGGATAGCCCCGGATCTCTCAGCGCCCCCGGGTGGGAGGCTATGGATGTGCGGCTCCAGGGCCACCTACTTATGGAAGCACAAGCCGATCAGCCCCTTGAGCCCCCCTGAGTTTTCTTTGGGAAGTCGGGTTGGTGTAGGCCCCATTAGCTCTTGATTGTTCCCAGTCTTTACTGAAATTTCCCCAGAGGTTTCTTCTCTACTTTCTCAGTTCTTTGGGTGAAGTCATAAGACTTTTTGGAGGTTATTTGTGGGGCCATAACTACGGGGCTGGGTACCAATATAAGTGAGGTAGGTTTTCATTCAATCAAGATTTGTTGAGTGCCAAATATGTACTCCGCGTGTAGGTGAGGGTGACTGTTGACTAGTGAAAAAAGGGACCCAAGGTTCACGACTATCTTCTTACTGGCAGTGGAACGACCTGTGGAAACCTGCGATCCCTTCTCATTAAATAAATCTCTGGGTAAGTGGCTAAAGCATCTTCTTGGGCGAATCACTAACACATCTCGGTTTTCACTTTCCCAGTCATTTAGTTCCCAGTTAGTCAGGGTAATTCAGCATCTCACTTTCAGTGTTTTTTGAGACTAAGGTCTGGGGCTCGCTATGTTGGGCTAGGCTGGGCCTTCAAGAACTAGGCTCCAGCCATCCTTACTAAGTAGATAGGACTACAGGCACTCACTATCTCGCCTACCTTGGAATCATATGTACATATGTGTATGGGGACTGAACTCAGGATCTTGCACATGCTAGGCAAGGTCTTTACCACTGAGCTGGATCCACAGCCAACAATGCTTTTAATACTAATCCGTAGTAAAATATATGTAGCTAATTTGACACGCTGTTTTCAAAGTGTAAATATAGGCTGGCAATTCTCATAACTTAAATTCCATAAACTACTGTTTAAAATCTCTTGACCGTTGCTGTACTTAATATCTAGCATCACGTTGTTTTTTGGTTTTTGTTTTTTTTTTCCCTCATACTGGAGTTTGAACTCAGAGACTCATCCTTGTTAGGCAGTTGATCTACCACTTGCACCACTCTGACAGCCCTTTTTTTGTTTGGAAATTTTCGAGATAAGGTCTTGAGAACTATTTGCCCAGGCTAGCCTCTAACAGATCTCCTAATCTCTGCCTCCCAAGTAGCTAGGATTGCAGGCATGCGCCATTTTACCAGCTCTGAGGAATTTACTCTTGAATAAAACTTACCTAAATTTTGTATGTGGATGATTTGAAAGTAATTTCCAATATGTGTTGAGCTTAGTAAGATGAATTTCTAGGAGCCATCTTTTTTTTTTTCTTCTTTTTTTGTGGTACTGGAGCTTGAACTCAGGGCCTTCCCCTGGAGCCACTCCATCAGCCCTATTTTTGTGAAGGGTTTTTCGAGATAGGGTCTCCAGGAACTATTTGCCTGGACTGGCTTCGAACTGTGATCCTCCTGATCTCTGCCTCCTGGGTAGCTGGGATTATAGGCGTGAGCCACAGGCCCCCTAGCACCATTTTTCATTCATTAACTATAGAGTAAATGTGGGTCAGTTTATTAGAGAAATCTGAAGGCCAGTGTAGGTTGCACAATTTGTCTTGTCCTAATGGTGCCCTCCATCTGCCCTTGATCACAAGAGAATGAATGAAGGTTCGAATCACCACTTAGTATTGAAGTTTTGGAAGATACTGCTTCCACTTTTGATCCATACACATGACAAAGAAATAGAGTTAACAATCATTGTACATTCTTTCTAATCTTAAGGCGTTTTCACCTCTCCCCCTTCCTTTTCTATTGCCCTGAGCTTTCAGTTCTTTGAAAATAACTTAAGATACTTACTGAGATTAGATACTCTGACTTACATGTAACCTTAAGGATGTTTTCCCTCCCTAATCCATTTCGCTTGGAATTTTCAAGTAACCAGGTGGTGGCCTTATTTATTCTTTGGATTGGTTTTAAATCATTCTAGGTAATTTAGCATGACCTTTATTCCTTGTTCTCATTTACTTTGGTTTTATTTCTGGCTTCCTAACTTAAATACTTATTTAAATGTTATTAGTTATAAAGTTAGATAAAACTATGAATTTTATTCTGAATTCTCTTTTTGCTGTTTTATTTGTTTTGATGTCAAATATTTTATGTTTTGTTCTAGATAATCTTTACTTATTTCAATGTTTATCATTGGAAGCTTAATTTGCATATAGTTATGGTCAAGTGTTATTTCTAGTGTATAGGATTATAGGCAATATAGTCTTTTTAATTTTTTTGGTGATGCTTGCTAGGCAAGTTCTCTACCACTGATCCCAGCCTGGCTTGGAAATTTCGCTTTTTTGTGGCCAAGAACATAGCCAATTTATAGTGTCCTTTGGACTTGAGATCAGAATGTGAAAGGTAGAATCACAAGTAAGTGGCAGGGATTCTTACAGGCATTTTAGATGAACTATCTCATTCAATCCTCATCATAACCCTAAGCCTAAGAAGTAGGTATTGTTTATTGTTATTATTTTGTTTTGTTTTGGTGGTACTGGATTTGTTTGTTCTTTGGTTTTTTTTTTTTTAAACAAGTTTTTTATTAGTATATTTTAGTTACACGGTGGGGGGGGGTGTTTCATTATGACATTAACAAATGTACTTACAGTGTATATTAAGGTATCGGAGATTGTGAACCCAGGCCTGGAGCTTGCTAGGCAAGCTCTCCATCACTTAGCCAGGACCCCAGCCCTTTTTGCTTTAGTTGTTTTTCTAATGGAGCCTTCAGTTTTTTGCCCCAGCTGGCATAATTTACATCTCCTTTGTAGCTGGGATGACAGTCATGAGCCACTGGGCCCAGCTTATTTTCTTTTGGAGAAAGGGTCTCACTATGAAGTTCAGTCTGACCTGGACCCAATCCAGGTCAGCCTCCCCGAGATTACAGGCATGCACCACCACACCTGTTTATTGCTGTTTTATAAGTGGAATCTAAGCTACAGAAAGATTGAGTGACATGTACAAAGTCAGTGATAAAGCCTATATAGCACTACTTACCGATTAAACTTAGTTTTATTATTCAGATCCTCTGCATCTTTGTTTATATCTATTTGAGCTGTTGAAGAAATGTGTTGAGTTTTCAGCTGTATTTTAGGTTTTAACAGGCTCTTTTATTGCTGTGTTGTTTAGTGTGTAAAAATATATGGCTATATTTCCAGAGATTATTATTACACAGTGCCCCTTAAAATTACCTCTCTCCACTGAAGTTGTAATACAATATTGTCACTTTTTCACCGCATTTTTTTTTCCCTTTTGGGCAGCACTGACGTTTGAACTCAGGGCCTCATACTTACTAGGCAGGCGCTCTCCCACTTGAGCCACTCCTCCAACCCTTTTTTGTGTTGGGTATTTTTGAAATAGGTCTCGGGAACTATTTGCCTGGATTGGCTTCAAACTGAATAGGTAGAATTACAGGCATGAGCCATTGGTGCCCAGCTCAATGCATTTTCTTTTGAATTTTTTTTTTGTTTGTACTGGCATTTGAATTCATAGCCTTGAGCCTTAATAGGCAGGCACTCTCAGCCCAATTGTTTTCTTCGCCTTTCTCTTGTACTTCTTCTACTGGCACTTGCACTGGTGTTCAGCAACCTGGGAAGTCATAACATTTGCTATTAAAGAGCCTTTATGGAGCTAAATCTCCAGCCACCACCCCCCTTCTCAGAGGTGCAGAGGGTGGGGCTGAACATTCAAACCTTGTAGTCAATAGATCTTTCAAAGAACCAGCCAGATCCTGAGATCAAGTAGGGCTCCCCCCTAAATTGCCTTATTAACATAAACCCAGGTGTTACTGGCCTTATTGGGGTTTGAACTCAGTACTTGCTAGGAAGGCCACACTCCTAGAAAGGCTCTTTGAATCACTCAGAGTTTCATACAGGAGCTGTGACAGAAACTGGGGACAAAAGACCAAAGTTTTCTTTCTTCTTTCTTTTTTTTATTTTGGTGGTTGAACTGAAGGTCTCACACTTGCTAGACAGGCACTCTATTACCACTTGAACCAGTCCAAAGACTAAATATTTCTTACTCTACCATATCATCACACCCATTAAGGTGACCATCAACTGGTAGAGTCCCTGCCTAGCAAGTATGAGGACCTAGTTAAAATGTAACAGAGTTGATGAGGAACCCTATGTACTGTTGGTGTGAGTGTATTAGCACCTGGCACAGAAAATACTATAGTGGTTCCTTAAGAAATGAAACATAGTGAAATCGGAGTTTTGGACCCAGAAGCCCAAACTCCTGGGATTTCAAGAGCCAGGTTTGGCCACTCTCCCTTATACACCAAATAAAGAGGCATGGT